TATATCTCGAGATCCAGACCAGATAGAAAGTTACTGTCTTTCACAAAGTTTTTCAGGAGGTCAAAGCCTATTGCTTGGTGCTCAAAAGTTCAGAATTTGCTCACTACGCGACGCTAGTATACACGTGAAATTAGCATATAAAATATCTTGAGTTCCCAACCAGATAGAAAGGTACTGTCTTCGGCATAGTTGTTCAGGATGTCAAAGCTTTTTTGCAGGTGGACAGTAGTTCACATTTTTCTCACTTTGCGGCGCTACTATACATGTGAAACTCCTGCATATAAAATATTTCTAGATCCTGACCAGATAGAAAGTAAATATATTCGGCAAAGTTTTTCAGGAAGTCAAGATCTTTTTGTTGGGTGACAATAGTTCAGAATTTTCTCACGATGCGGCGCTAGTATATACGTGCTTTTCTTGCATATTCAATAGCTCGAGATCTTGATCAGCTAGAAAGTTGATGTCTTCGGCAAAGTTGTTTAGGGGGTCAACACTTTTTGGCTGGTGAACAGCAGTTAAGAATTTTCTCACCACGTGGCGTTAGTATACATGTACACTTCTCACATATGCTATATCTCGAGATCCTGATCAGATAGAAAATTACTGTCTACGACAAAGTTGTTCAGGAGGTGTTGGTGAAATGTGAAATTCTCGCCTGTTATATATCTCGAGATCCTGACCAGATAGAAAGTTACTGTCTTGAACAAATTCGTTCTGGATGTTATCACCTATTGGTGCACAATGTTTCAGAATTTTCTAACTGCGCTGCGCTAGTATACACGTGCAATCCTCATATATGCTACAGCTCGAGATCCCGAACAGCTAGAAAATTACTGTCTTCGGCAAAGTTTTTTTTTTGAGATCAAAGCTGATGAACAGTAAATAGTTCAGAATATTTTCGGTATGCGGTGCTATTTAGTGTGCATGTAAAATATTTGTAGATGCTATAGCTTAAGGTCAGGAAGTTACTGTCATCGTCAAAGTTGTACATGCGGCAAAGTTCTTCCGGATGGTGAACATGCAAATGTGTTTTGTTCAAAGCTCTCTCATTTTACGTCCAATTTTTGATCTCCTTAAAGGGTGATACGGTCAAAATTTGGTCAATATCAACTTGACGTATTTCTTTCAATTTTGCATTTAAAAAACCTGAACACCCCTCATTTTGAAGGTGTGTGTGTGTAGAATGTTGCTCCTATTTTGATTTTGGAATTCACTCTTCAGTTGTCAAAATGCCGTCCAAGCAAGAAGAGCAGCGTATCAAAATTTTGCTCGCGCATCGCGAAAATCCGAGCTACTCGCACGCAAAGTTGGCAAAATCGCTAAAAGTTGCCAAATCAACCGTTACAAATGTAATTAAAGTGTTTGGGGAACGTTTGTCGACAGCCAGGAAGTCTGGATCGGGGGGAAATCGAAAACCGGAAGCCGCTGAGACGACAAAGAGAGTTGCCGGTAGTTTCAAGCGAAACCCTAACCTCTCTCCCCGAGATGCCGCAAATAAGCTGGGTGTATCGTCTACAACCGTGCATCGAGCCAAAAAACGAGCCGGACTATCGACTTACAAGAAGGTAGTGACTCCAAATCGCGATGATAAACAAAATACGACGGCCAAAGCGCGATCCCGGAGGCTGTACACGACGATGCTGACGAAGTTTGACTGCGTGGTAATGGACGACGAAACCTACGTCAAATCCGACTACAAGCAGCTTCCGGGACAGGAGTTTTATACGGCAAAAGGAAGGGGAAAGGTAGCAGATGTTTTCAAGCACATGAAACTGTCAAAATTCGCAAAGAAATATCTGGTTTGGCAAGCCATCTGTACCAGTGGCTTGAAAAGCAGCATTTTCATAGCTTCCGGGACTGTCAACCAAGAAATTTACGTGAAAGAGTGTTTGAATAAACGTCTGCTGCTTTTCCTGAAGAAACACGGTTGTTCCGTACTGTTTTGGCCGGATTTGGCATCTTGCCATTACGGTAAAAAGGCCATGGAGTGGTACGCCGCCAACAACGTGCAGGTGGTTCCCAAGGACAAGAACCCTCCCAACACGCCAGAGCACCACCCAATTGAGAAATACTGGGCTATTGTCAAGCGGAACCTAAAGAAGACCAAAAAAACTGCTAAGGGCGAGCAGCAGTTTAAGGCAAACTGGCTTTCTGCGGCGAAGAAGGTGGACAAGGTGGCTGTACAAAATCTGATGTTAGGGGTCAAGCGTAAGGCCCGGCAATTCGGATTTGGAAAAGCGGAAGCCTAACTGAATATTTTTCCTGAATTTTATACTAATTGAACTTGAAAAAGAAATTTAATTTGATTTTTTTAAATAAACGATTTCACCGATTTACACGCGTTTTCCCTTGACCAAATTTTGACCGTATCACCCTTTAGGTTATTTGAATGGTATGAATGGTATAGCATAAGGGTTCTACTACTACGTTTAATTTAAAATTATTTGTTCAAGTCAATTCTGAGAAAATCAATCATGACTCTTCAGAGTAAATTTTGAAAAATAGTGCAACTTTGGGTGAACCTTTGGTATACAAAATTTGAAAATAATATTGAGAAATTTGTCTCTTCCTATTTCCATTCAAAATCTTTCAAATGTTCTAAAAAGAACGAAAATTTGACGTTTTTAGGAGGTGTTCTTAAACTTATGATACGGGGGTACGGTTTTATAAATTTCTCCATTCAACTGAGCAAAAGTGCCTCACTCTCTGAGTTAGTCTCGTTGTCCGTGCACACGTAAATACAGGGATTTTTTTTTATTGTTCTAGACTCCTCGATAAGACATTTTGAAATTATCCTAAAATTAAAGGGAGACTCTAAACAAGGCCTTGGCTCCCTGAACAACTTTTCCGAAGACAGTAACATTCTATTTGGTCAGGATCTCGTGATATTTAATATGTGAACATTTCACGTGTATACTGTGGTGAGTAGTATTATATTTAGATTTTACCAATTTCTTAAATGGATGAAATACAGATCATTTGAACCAAAAATGGAAAAAGGATTCGAACCACCAACGTTGAGGTTATCAGGGTTGTGTTTTTACCACTGGTCTATCAGCGCTCACGACATATACTAGAGCCGCTTAGGAAATTCTCAACTATTGTACACCAAGCAATAGGGTTTGACCTCCTGAACAACTTTGTGGAAGACAGGAACTTTCTATCTGGTCAGGATCTCGAAACAACCAACATGCGAGAATTTTACGTGCACTAAATCGCGAAATCTATCTGATCAGAATCTCGAGATATTTTACATGCGAGAATTTCGCGTGTATACTAACGCCACGTAGTGTGGAAATTCTGAACTATTGTGCACCAAGCAATAAGTATTGACTTCATGAACAACTTTTTCAAAGACAGTTATTTTCTACCTGTTCAGAATCTCGAGCTATAGCATACGCGAGAATTGTACACGTTTACTAGAGAAAAATCTGGGCTTTTGTCCACCAGCCAAAAAGTCTTGACCCCCTGAACAAGTTTGCCGAAAACAGTAACTTTCTATCTGCTCAGGATCTCGAGCTATTGCATATACGAGAATTGCATGTGTATACTAGCAACGAGTAGTGAGAAAATTCTGAACAACTGTCCACCAACGAAACGATCTTGACTTCCTGAACAACTTTGCCAAACACATTTACTCTCTATCTGGTCAGGATCTAGTGATGTATCACATGCAAGAACTTAACTTGTATACGAGCACTACCTAGTGTGAAGATTCTGATCTACTGTTCACCAGCAGAAAGGCTATGATCTCCTGAACAGCTTTGCCTAAGACAGTAACTTTATATCTGGTCAGGATCTCGAGATATTTTATATGAGAATTTCATTTGTATACTAGCGCCGCGTGTCTAGCGTGCAAATTCTGAACTACTGTCCACCAGCCAAAAATACTTGACCCCCTGAACAAGTTTGCCGAAGACAGTAACTTTCTATCTGCGCAGGTTCTTGAACTATTGTTTATGCGAAAATTGCACTTATATACTAGCGCCACGTAGTGAGAATTTTCTGAACTACTCCACCAACGAAAAGATCTTGACTTCCTGAAAAACTTTGCCGAAGACAGTAACTTTCAATCTGGTCAGAATCTCGAGATATTTTATGTGAGAATTTCAAGTGTATACTAGCGCCGCGTATTGAGAAAATTTTGAACTATTGTGCACCAAGAAATTTGATCTCATCAACAACTTTGTCGACGACAGTAACTTTCTATCTAGTCATGATCTCGAGATATCACATGCGATAATTTCACATGTATTCTAGCGCTACTTAGTGAGAAAATTCTGAACTACTCTCTACCAGCAAAAAGGTTATGATCTCTAGAACAACTTTGCCGAAAACAGTAACTTTCTATCTGGTCAGGATCTCAATTATTCCCATGTTGTAACCAATTAAGTCAAATTCCTCGTAGTAAGGACACCGTTTACGAGGTTTCCATTCACATTTTCTCTATTATCCGCATTTTTTTGGGGGTAACTGTGATAAAAGTTTAGCTTGTTTAGTTAAAAACAAGTTTTTTAAGGAATACCCGTTGGTTTCATATCGATTGGTGGCTCGGTTGCAAAATACCAATGGAAAACTCACACTGTTGTACAAAGTACAACGCGCGAGTACTCGTGTTACAAAAGTTGGTTCATATCCGGAGAAAGGAGAGGCCTCAGAGTGAGTAACCTCTAAATACATGGTATATTAACATCTTGTAAATAACTTTGGTTGCTGGCTCTTCAACTTATATGGAAAAAATAAAAATATATAAAATAGGGAAACAGAGGAACCACAGAAAACAAAATTATTTAAAACAAGCTACAAACGAATAATCAAAAAAAAAAAAACAGAGCTCAGCTGACATAGGTCCAATAGGGGAAATTCATCCAACTGAGATGTCCCAACGGCCGAAAGAAATTCCTGCTATACCAAGTGGTAGATTTTGGCTTCTTTTAAGAAGGTTACTAGTGCTGCCGAGGCCGGAGTATCATTCCCGAGCAGATCCCTGATGCTGGAAGTTAGGCAGAGCGACTCCCGAAGATTTTGGAACTCCGGTCAGTTGCACAGGATGTGTTCGATGGTTTAAGCCCGGTCCGAAGGCGCGAAATCACACGTTGATTCCTCAGGTTATCCAGTTCGCTCCATTCTTCAGTTGACCCTTTGACTTTGCGGATGAAGGCAGTTCTGTTGCGGAACCACTCGGCCTCCCATGCCGCTCGAATGGTCCGCATGATCCACCGTCTGACGTCCTGTAGGGGTACCTTGTTGGTGAGTCTGAGACCCGATGTCCCGACGCCGACAAGGTGATCAGCAGACTCGTTACCTGGCACTCTGCAGTGTCCGGGAATCCACGTGTACACGGTGTTCTGTGGGGCGTATTTGATAATCGCCTGGATCCATGGGTGTTTTGGTGCATCCGAGGTGATCGCTTGAACGACGCTGTGTGAGTCGGTTAAGATAAGTATCGGTTTGTTGGCTGGCGTCGTAGCGGCACGGAAGATCGCTGCAGCCTCGGCCGAGAAAACCGAGCATTGTGGAGGAAGACTGCTGCTTTCAGCAATATCGTCATTAAGGCAAAAATCCCCGATACCTACTCCGTTTATCGATCGGGAGCCGTTGGTGTACCGGTGTACGTGGCCGGCATAGTTAGACCCAAGTAGCTCCGTGACCAATCTGCGCAAAATCACGGATGCATCCCCTGCTTTGAAGTGGTTCATGATCCGATTGTCCAATTGGATTCGTGAAGAGTGCCAACTTTTCTCTCCATGCCAATGGACTTTGGCCACGGGGGGGAGGTCGATGTCGGCGGCCGTGCGGAGGACTCTGTTCCCCTCGTCGAGGAGAAAGATCCTATTGTTTCCGGAGGTCTTGGCGGAAAAGGCGGCGGCTTTTGTGGCAATATTTGCGTTTAAGCAGAACCGGAAAGGAAGAACACCCGCTTCGATGCATGCGGCGCCTGCTGGAGTGGATGGCAGGAGACCAGATATGATGCGGATGTAGCTGTTGTAGACCGGTGCTAGGGTTCTAACCAGCTTCTCGGAGGCGAACACTAGGAAGCATTGGGAGTCCAAATTGCTGAATAATCAATTATGTAGTATTTAAGGCAACCCATTTTGTAAATTTAGTTATTATTTATTCATTACCGATCGAGTACTCATTTCATCCGAAAAGGTTTTCCTCCAGTGCACAGTGGTCCAGAATGCAGATTTAGGTGGAATGATATGTTTTGAGCCTGAAATTGAAACTTTAGACTAAAAGTCTCTTCTACAAAGTTGTTTCTTATAGTTAGGCCCTTATTTTTATGACAATTAATTCTAAGGTGGTTCTTATTATCAATAAAATCAAAAATCTAACTTTTTTGTTTGAATAAATTAAGGTATACATTCTTGGGCAAAGTTATAGCTGAGCTAATTTAAAGCAACTTTGTGCAACACAACTTTTTTGTATCTCTTAAATTGGCTGACTAAGAGCTATTTTCTTGAATTGAGTTAGGGTGGCGCTAAAAAAAACAATTATTTTGCTCTAGTTTTCTTATTTCAAATTTTTCAGCAAAGGTGTCTTTGAATGACTTTTAGATCTTATCTTTTGCTCTAGAAAGCTTTTCATTATCTTTCGCCGATCAAGAGTTATTGACGTTTTTGTACTAAAAATATGCACTTTTCAAATGTTAATATCTCTGGTTGGGGCAAATAAAAAAAAGTTTTTATACGGCGTTTGAAAGGACGTATGTTATTCTCAATAATATGAAAAAATTGGAGGTATGCTATTTTTTAAACTCGTATAAAATCACTTCGAATTTATTCAGTTTTTTTTTTACTATATTTGGGTATATCTTTTTTATTAGAAGAGATACAGGCAGCAAATTTCGCTATAAAACATTCGTCTTAAAGAGTTTTAAAAGTTTCTAGAGGATGACTTTCATGAGAAATTTGAAATAAAAATGTTAGTGCTAAAAAACTATTATTTGTAGAAAATCCCTAAGTTAACTCCTAAAAATTACTCTAAAATAAGAACGTTAAGAGATAGAAAAAAATTTATTCGACAAAGTTGCATACATTTTACCACACTAAAACTTTCTTAAACACCATATGTTTTTATTTTGTAAAACAAAAAAGTTATTTCTAAAAATTCCCTTATTTGAGGACCACCCTGACGTTTGCAAACACCAAAAGGAGGGAATTTTTTATAACAAAAACTTCTTCTAAGACACTTAATGTTCAAATATTGAAACAAATGTACTAGCACATTTTAATTAAATTTGTCACTAGAGTGGTCCTATGAAATCCATATTTTGTCAATAACTTTTTTAATTGAAATTTCTCATGAAAGTTATCTTGTAGAGGCTTTTAAAACTCTTAAGACGAATGTTTTACAGCAAAATTTGTTGTCTGTATCTCTTCTAATAAAAAAAGATATACTTAAATATAGTAAAAATTATGAATAAATTCAAATTGATTTTATACGAGTAAGAAAAATAACATACCTCCAATTTTTTTCATATTATTGAGAATAACATACGTCCTTTCAAATGCCGAAAAAAAACTTTTTTTTTGTTTGCCCCAACCAGAGATATTAACATTTGAAAAGTGCATATTTTTAAGTACAAAAACGTCAATAACTCTTGATCGGCGAAAGATATCTTCTAAAGATCTAAAAGTCATTCGAAGACACCTTTGCTGAGAAATTTGAAATAAGAAAATAAGAGCAAAATAACTGTTTTTTTAGCACCACCCTAACTCAATTCAAGAAAATAGCTCTAAATCAGCCAATTTAAGAGATACAAAAAAGTTGTGTTGGACAAAGTTGCTTTAAATTAGCTCAGCTATAACTTTGCTCAAAAATGTATACCTTAATTTATTCAAACAAAAAAGTTAGATTTTTGATTTTATTGATAATAAGAACCACCCTATAATTAATTGTCATTTAAATAAGGGCCTAGCTATAAGAAACAACTTTGTAGAAGAGACTTTTAGTCTAAAGTTTCAATTTCAGGCTCAAAACATATCATTCCACCTAAATCCACCTGGACCACTTTGCAGTGTGAGGAAATCTCATCGTTGCAACAAATTCACTTTGTTCTCTACAGAAAGTTTCTCTGTTTTACTTGTACTGCTGGAGTGGAACATATCCAAGTAACCAAGTTCCACATTCAACGATAAAACTCACTTCCAAGTTCCATAAAGTTCCGACAGAACCTTTAAGTTCCATAAAGTTCCGACAGAACTTTCTTCCCAAGCAACCAAAAGTTCCGTATTCAACGATAAAATCCACTTTCAAGTTCCATACAGTTTCGATGCGTACTCCTAGCAACTTGAAGTTCAAAAAAAGTTCCAAAAAGCATCCCTAAGCAATTTTGACAAACCTCAGGCACGGTGTAAGACATGGCCACAACAAACTTCCGAACAAGTTCACAGTGGAACTTTTTAGCAACTTGAAAGTTTCTTAAAAGGTCCGTCAAAGCCCACATAAAGCCATCTGCACAAATCTTTATTAGTAACAAAATTTAAGTACGCAAATATGGCGCAAATAAATCATAATTCTTATATTTATGCAGTGCATCAATATTCCATTTTTAATTTCCTGGATTCGAACCCGTGTATTCGGCATGCGATCTACCACTGCGCCACAAGTGTGTTGCCGGCAAACACCAATTTAAAATTCATCAAGGTGTAGTGTTTCGTATTCAAGTCAGTCAGCTGGCACTGAAAACTCCAGCAGTAGGCGGGACAACAGCTCACTTTAATATATCTCAGATGACGTAGCGAATCGTGGTACACAGCAAAAATGCTGATGTATGAAATAATGATGTAATAGCAAAAAGCAGATACAATATAACATCAATGGATGTAATTTTGTTCGCAAAATCGATGAACATCGTACAACGTTATATCACACAACCGATGGATTGACCTGGTTGCAGCAGTTTGGATGTAATATTCAACAACTTTTTTTTTTCTGTGAAGGGCTCTCACGAAGAAGGACTGGGTTTAATTCTTCAAACAGCTCCAATACTAATACTTATGCTGATAAATCAATACACGTTCATCCCTGTCTTTAAACATAAATTTCATAAAAGTGGGAACAATATAAAATTGGTGGAGGACAATCATTTTGTAACTTATTTTCCACAAGTTCCGTTCAAGTTCCGCCAGAAGCTGCTTAGAATGCTCTTCAAAATGAGGCTGCTTTGAATTCTATAGACCACCTTCAACCAAGCTGCTGAAGCCACAACTAGCCTTTTATCAGAACTTTTGGTTACTTGGGTAGTTACCCGATAAGCAATTCAGCAGCTATTTGGCATCCACTATGATTTATGATGGATTGGTTTCATAACGGCAATGAACAATCCATTTAATTTAAACGCAGCATTTTAAATTGTCAAACATTCCTGGTTAGTAATTCAGTTTATTTCTGTTTTATAAACCTATAGTCTGTCGAAAAAGTCAAAAACTGTCTTGTTTTAAAAATAAATTTAAAGCAGCTCTCAATCCCTCCATAAAACTGTTCTGTAAATCAATCATAAACTTCATTAGCAATTTTTTATTAATGCCTTGATAAAATACTCTATAAAGTTGTTCTACTATTATAAAAGCAACCATTAAACCATTCGGTTTTAAATTAGAGCAAGCCCCGTAACGTGGGTAGATCACCTTTTCGTGGTACGTTACATTATTTACGGACTACTTCAAACTAGAGGAACAGGATTTTTCAGTAATCCAAGGAACACATCTAAGTCCTTGTTACTTTTTATGCCTTGTTGATAGTGACAAGACTCGGCTTTGTCCACCGAGGATGATCTTGAAGCAAGAAAAAAATGAGTTAGTTAGTCTTCATCTATGTGATTCCTAATCTTCTATTCGCTGTTCCCTAGTTTGAAGTGGTTAAGACTAGGGTACTGATGGATGGTCATTATTGGTGTCATTCCTTTATTTTGTTGCTAAGGAATCCAATTTTGACTGACAAAGGGACGTGCCTTTGGAGGGTGTTTCAACACTCCGAAGGCTATAAATAGCGGGACCTTTCAATTAGAGTTGGATTTTTGCGATAAATGTGAGAATGAAAACTGTAAAAAAATCAAATACTTCATCATTTTTCAATAGTGATGGAGTAATACGACATGCACTAAACTAAGGACACGGGATATACTACATTAGTTCAAATCACTGGTCGCAGTGGTGTTAGGTCCCGAACAGAGGAAAAAAAAATAGAGCAAAAAGCATATATTGTTGTTGTTTAGACTTGTTAAAGTGTATAATAAAACCCCCAATTACTCTGTTTACAAAGTAAACTTAAAAGTTTCATCCATCAATCGTCACGTCGCGACTTATCTACGGTATCGGGCTCGACAGTAGAGCGAAGGATTCGGTGGTGCAGACTCTTGCACCCATCTTCAACCGGATGGTCCGGTTCGCCTCAGGGGCGTACGTCACCAGTCCGATTCCAGCGATTATGGCTGAAGCAGGCACTTTGCCGTTCGATCTAATGGTTATGCAAGCTATAATTCGTGCTGCAATTCATTTGATAAAGAAGGATTCCAGGAATATCGATCTTCCAGTTATGGAACGAGTGTCCGATCGCCTGGCAGCGGTTGATGTAGAGCTTCCAAACATCGCTGTACGGACACGTTTCGCCAACCGTGAGTGATATAAACCCAAGCCGCATATTGTTTGGGATGTGAAGCGGCAGGTGAAAGCTGGGGATCCCTCGAATACAGTGC